GTTAGGTGGTGGGGTTGTTTCCACAACGCGTACTTAGTCGGATGGTCACTCGTAGCCTATGTGGCATTTTGAAAATTATTGCAGCTTTTAGATGTTATATGGTCATCTACCATGAAAAAAACAATTTTGATTCTCTACACAAAGCAAACAATGGACTTTTGATGAACAAAAAAATTGTTTGTCACGGTCACTAACTACTCAAATAAAATGCGTTTGATCAATTATAAGGAATCTTAGCGTCATTTATTGGATAAGTCTTAGCTAACTACATTAGCCCAATGTCAGTCGCCAGATTACCTTATGAATTTGCATGCGACATTATGGCTCAACTCACACTGGCGCAGAGTCGAAGGGTCGCGACGCGTCATGTTTTTCGCCTAAAGCATATTCATACCTATTTTCCCATTATTAAGGTACAAATTTGTGTTATGCAAATATGGAAATGCGCGCGGTTGGTTGAAAACGAGCGGTTTCGCGCGTTACTTGGGCGCAGTGAGGCGTCAGACGCCGACCACACTGTGATCCGGGCGCACTCATGCGAGCGTCGTCGACGACGCCAGGCGTTGTAGTTGAAAAACAGGACGCAACGCGACGATTCGACTCTGCGCCAATGTTAGTTGAGCCTAAGTTGAGCCTAAATGTTGCAGTAGAACTTCTTGTGAAAGAGTTCTTCCAGGGAAGTACTGCCACCTTGACTATTTCAGCCGCCAAGCAGTAATAGTCACATTACTGCGTTCCGGCTTTGAAGGGTGCTGGTAAAATTACAGGCACATGGGACTTGTCAATTTATGTCTGAGGTTGACGGGCGCAGTGGCAGTGCCCCACAGATCTTTGGGAATTAAAGTTCTGAGTGGCGCTGCACCTGATAATCTATAATATAATATAATCGCTTGATATCATAAAAAAAGCGAACCAGGTAATTTTGGAACAAAAACTGGCAGACACCAATCAACTTGCTTGAAGTGTTCCAAGAATTACGACGAATAGAACTATTATACCTGTAGATCTGTTGACTTGAAATTACCTAAATCAATTACTGAGATATAAGAGCGGTACACACAGTGACTTTTAGCAATGCAAGCGCGCGATTGCATCGATACAAACGCGCGATTGTATCGCTACATTTGGGATTTATAGGCGATGGCATCGATGCAATCGCGCGTTCATAGATCGCAGATGTAGCGATACAGTCGCGCGTTTCACGAACGCGTGTTTCCATCGCTGTTCAAAGACGAAATAATCTCATTATGAATACCATTATATGGATCCGAGATACATCTGACTTATTACAATCAAACGGTTGTTTGACAGTCGTTTTTCTTTTTCCTACTCGTGTCTTTTTTACATTCAAGTTTTGATATATTAGCGCAATTAGCTACCTAATTCAAACATCCCATGTGAAAATTGAGTACCGCATAGCGTATTCCTTATACAGGTGTTCTCGTAGGAACGGCTAATTCAATTGTGATACCTTGTTACACATACCCTACCCGTTCAAACCGTCTGCGTAAGCGCCCCGGAGAGAGAACGTAAATGTTTCCTCATTCCTTACTTAAATATTTTAACGATAAACTCGGAATTGTTATGAGGCCATGGACGCCTTGACTAGCGAAGTTGTGTGTGTGATATGGTGATAAAGGCGGAAGTCAGGTTGCAGAGTCATGACCTTCTTCATTAAATAAAAGTAAACTACGTGATAAATGTTAACAATTTAAATTTAAAAATTGTTGCAAAATCAGCACAAGCGCTGCGAATTGCAAAAAAATTGTTTCGAGGGGACAATGGATGCGGTGTCACCAGGTATTTTTTTTAGTTTTATTGGACTAAGTTGATACTTTATGATATTTAGTGCGGGGACCAACAAGTCGTCCGCCTGATGGTGAGCGACTCTTCTAGCAATAAGGATGATTAATCATGGCGCCGCGGTGTTCTGTGCTACTGCGGCGCCGCAAGAGTTACGGCGTCGTACCGCAGCAGCAGCCATGCAAATGTAGCCCATACGGCGTCACCTACTAAAATCGTACATTAGTAGAATTGCGGCATCGATCGCTTGCCGCCGCCGCCGTATCAAGTAACGCCGCCGCCGCCGCCGCCGCCGCCGCGATACGTGTATAAAAGTGTGTATACAAATGCAAGGCCGACTGCAACTGCAACTGCGTTGTTACGGTGCCGTGTGTAATTAGCGTAACAGTAGGATTGGTATAGAATGCTGCCGAAATCACGAAATCAACTTTTTACATCTAAAAGTACGAAACAACCCGAAGTGGTAAGAAGATTTTGAGTCGGTGAGACAGATTTTATAAGCTATCTTTACAAGTATGTCCTATTTTTTAATTTAGATTTTACGTTACGTACAAAAATAACATGCGTTTCTTAGGAACTGTGAGTACGGAGAATCTGATTCCTAAAGGAATAACATGTAGCATGATATCTTCTTGGCAAAGAAAGGTCTGTACCAGAAATGTGCACGTGTGTGCAGCTGTGGCGTCGACGTCAATTATGTCAAAATAGTTTAGATAGGACAATTGACTAACAAATAAATGGACGACGGGTCTAATACAAAAACCACGAAAAAAATGTCCCAAGTCAACCTATTCGAAATTTAAATTGTAATGTCATCGCAGTATCGCGCTGTCAGTAGAACAAATGAAGACTAAAGCGGAGTGTCGCGCTCTGTATACGATTTTAGCGCCTTACAAGTGCGGACACCTTTTAGCGCGGACCCGACGTCCATATAATTGTAAGTCAATGGATAGGACACAACCAAAGATTTTCGAGAGACCCTGGTGCTGATTGAATAAACAGTCGGATCGAGTTTTTAAGTTTCCTGATTAAATTGTGAATGAAACAATTTGTTCCGATCTACGAGTAAATCAGTCAGCCGAAAAAAGCGCGAACGTCGATTTGTTTGAAACAAATTCATGGGATTTAGATCCGAAAGATTTAAAATGAAATTCGGAAAACACCAAAACTTTTACCTTTTTAACCGACTGAAAAAAGGAGGAGGTTCTCAATTCGACTGTATTTTTTGTGTGTATGTTACGCAATAACGATTTTGATTATTCTTTTTTGATGGAAAGAAGGTACCGGCCTCAGTATCCCATTTAAATTTTAAGAAAATATTCCACCTATAAAGATGGCAAACTAGGGAATAAATCCGGTTTCGCAAACTTTCCATTAACAGATTTCTGTAAAACGCATAACGCACACACTCGTAGCCCCGCACTAGGGAAACCCTGTGTCGCGGATGCCATGGACACATAGACACCTCAAATTACACCCAAACTCACGACAGAAATAAATGTACACATATAAATATTTCTCCCGGGCCGGGAATGGAGGCCGTGACCTCTGGGTGGCAGTCCAGCATGGTAACCGTTCGGCCACAGCGGCAGTTACTAAAAAAGTTCTAATTTTAATACCCTATGACGCGATAAACAAGTTGTGCGCCTGGGGGTAAGCGACACGTCTATCCAAAACAGTTGCAGTGCCACTCAGCGCTTTAAATCGCAAAGATCTTATGTGCACTGCCACTGCGCCCGTCACCCTAATATATAAGTTGACAAGTCCCATGTGCCTGTAATTTCACCAGCACCCTTCCAAACCGGTACGCAGTAATGCGCACATTACTGCTTGGCAGTAGAAATAGTTACGGTGGCAGAACTTCCCTGAACGAACTCTTACACAAGGAGTTCTACTGCTTACCTAATTTGCACCAGCGTGTTTCTTAAAACCATTTTTTTTAAATTAACGTGAATTCGTGTAATACTATCCTATACTTACATTGACTTACAATTATATGGACGTCGGGTCCGCGCCAAAAAGTGTCCGCACTTGTAAGGCGCTAAAATCGTATACAGAGCGCGACACTCCGCTTTAGTCTTCATTTGTTCTACTGACAGCGCGATACTGCGATGACATTACAATTTAAATTTCGAATAGGTTGACTTGGGACATTTTTTTCGTGGTTTTTGTATTAGACCCGTCGTCCATTTATTTGTAAGTCAATGTATACTTAGATAGCATTTTATTACGGAAAAGATATAAACAGTGGCTCTAGTCTATTTGAATATCTTAGAGCATTTTTACGATCTCCAAGCGTATTCGATTAAGTGACGCCATTTACAGTCCCAATCAAATTACAAACTCTAAATGATATTAATATAGCAGATGTATTTTAATTACACTTTTACTAAAAAACTTAAGTAAATTTAAAAGTAAATTTGTTATGTCTATAGAAGGACTTGCCACGTTTTATTACAATTTATGGTATTTACATTCGTTGAGTGCTTAATTCATAAAACTGATACCGTGGAAAGATCCGTACGCTCAGTATGCGCAACTTTGAACGCCCCGTAAAGGCATATTCAGATATAAGCTTAGATTTAGTTACTAAAACTATGGATATAAGCGACATTCGCTACATCTGTGGGTAGCGAAAACTACCGCGCGGTATCCTGCCAGGTGTGAAGTTCCGCAGTTAGATTTAAATCAAGATACTGTACCACACCACCCAGGTCGAATCTTTTCACTTGCTTTGCAAAATTGGTTTCGCCAGACGGCGCGGTAGCAGCGGCGAATTCATAACGGTTACTTGACATAATGGAAGGACTCATTTGCGTTTTGTTCACTGACAGCACAGGAATGATTGTTTAGCGGTAACGATTTATTATGAAAAGTAGTAATACCGCATGTACTCACTCGAATTTCGCTACTCACAGCGGTACCGAACATCGCGTACGTACATATATCTGATAAGACCTTAAGGTAAAATTTTCAATAAAATATGTGTGTAGCCTACTTACTGTACTGAACTAAGTTTAGCAAATTGTTAAAAGGAATAAATAAATAAAACAACAAATCCGTTGGAAATATTTTATATTTCAACTGGTGTAATTCCACTATTATAGTATCTATACAAAATTAATCATTTTTACTAGGTACATTTTAGTCTAAGCAATATGTTTTACGCCATGATGTAGGTACATTAAAATTACATTAAATATATTCAAATACTGTTGACATGTTTCATTAATAGTACCATTACATTAGGGCGAAGTAGATTTACATTTACCCAGCTCTTGAAATGTACAACTCTTCGCCGAAAATACATACGACAGTTATAATTATAAAACTCTACCAAACACCTGAAAAGTTAATTCGATAAATAGAAACAGATATGCAGTCTTAAGTAGTGACTACAATCCAGACTTACAAAAGTACATATATTTGGGAAAAGAAGCCTCAGGTACGAATTTCAGATTTTCCAGAAGAGGAATCGAGTTGGAAACTGATGAGGTAATAAGTTAGTTTAGGTTAGGTTATGATTATAATTAACATTATAACAACGTATAATATCTGAATATTATGTACACATATCTTATAAATGCTCGAATATATCGAGAATTGATATTATTTACTTGACACGTAGAGGATTTGTTAATACATAAATATAAACTTGTCGTAAGGTTTGTTTGTATGTGGAGGGGAAGGTGGGGGATGTTTTAAGCTTAGTCCTGTTGTCGGTCGTCTTCCGAAGAGCCAGTAGCTTTTACTTCCTTGGGTACAGAGGACTGGAACAAAGAGTACGTTACGTGAGAAGGTTATTTAAAAATCTCTTACTAGATGTCGCAGGCGGCGACGAATACCGAAAAATAAGTACAAAGGTCTTTATAGAATTTCGACGACTCGGTAACTGGACCCGTGGCTCAGTTAGTTAGAGCAATGCTACGGTGCAGCATGGACGTGAGTTCAAATCCCACCGGGTCGACGAAAAAATTTTTCTGTGTCAGCATCTTATCTTTTCCTTGATTTATTTTGTATCCTGTGTATACTGCCCTCCTTGTTATAACTAATACATTTCCAATTTGGTAACTTTCGAGATAATAGTACCCTTTACACATTCACTCTATCGCGCGTGATCAGGAGCGTACAGGATTGCGCGCGAGAAAGTCTGCACGCGCAATCGTGTGCAATTACCTGTTTGAATTATTTTAAGTTAACGTTCTTATGCCATATATGTTCAACGTTCATGTCAGTCGAGTCGTGGGTGCAGGCCACCACAGAATGGATCTCCAAAGATAGAAAACGACCATGCGGCAGGCCAAACCGTAGATGGAGAAACGAGCTAGATGCGCACCTAAAGGACTCAGTGGCGCAAAACAGAGAGGTGTGGAGAGAGGGGAGGGAGGCCTTTGCTCAGCAGTGGGACAGTATAGACTCATAAAAAAAATCTTATGCGCGCGATTGCTCTTGCGAGTGTTCGTTTTTGTTACAACGGAAAGAGCGTCCGTGTAAAGAATAATGCGCAGGATAGACCGCGTGAAACTGGCGCATGTTGGAGTGCGCAATTGCGCGCGCGACTAATGAGCGCAATCTCGCAATCTTTCCCTTTTTCTTCCAACGTCTTTACACGCGCGCTCAATTTCACGATTGCTTTATCACGCGCGATAGAGTGTCTGTGTAAAGCCCGTTATTGGCACCTACATTTTTTTTCTACGAAAAATGTCAATTGCCTTAATTTTGCTAAACAATAACATTGAATTTTTTAAATGTAAAAAAGTCGCTTATGGGGGCATCTAGATCTCGATTCGCTGATTCCAGATTGTTGATAACTCAATTTCGCTTAAAATGTCGATTACGCTAGTTATGATAAGAAAGGCAATATAATTCTAAAATCCTCCAAAAATTAAATATAAAGCACCTCTTCATACAGTACACCTAGACATGAACACAAACAATATAGGAAATAGTTAAAAATAATACAGTAGCATCTCAATATCTATGCCCAATGACAACAGTGCTCAACATGCAAAAGTTCTTAAACGGATTTAATTATTATTATACAAAAAAAAAATATTTTTTTAAATAAATTTCTCCCTATATGTTTATAAAAGAAATTTTGAAATATAATAATACCACAAGACTACATGCATGTGTCACGCGAGTCATAGAATGCCTTAGTTGGCACACATTTAGTGGAACAATTTGTTTGTTATTTGTTTAGTATGTAACGTTTGAGTTTATCTGATAAATAAATAAATAAATAAGCTCTATGTATTTGTACGGACGACTGCCGTGAATTACTCGACATATTTTTTTTATTAAAAAACGTTAGGAGACAGCGGTGCTGCTGCAGCAGTTGATTTATCGATGTTATTATAATTTTGCTAGATGTCACGACTATGTACGTGTTAACAATGTCACTTTTTAAATTTCAAATAACGTAAGCATTCCATTTCATTTAATATTTTTTTAATTTATTTTACGACTTTGATTGAAATCCTTCAGTCGAAATTAATTTAAGTCTTACCTTTTAGAAATATTCTATTATGTCCAAGTTCATGAAATGGTTACGTCTTATCGATCTCATTTTAATAATTAGGTTTTATTGCCTCCGCAACGTGGTCGCTCAGAATTATATATTGCGTATTGCGTCATGGTTGACATTAAAATGTGATAACAAATAGCACTTTGAGATGGGAGATTTCAATTTTTCATTTCACTAACAACGTGTAGGGTCGGTTGATTAATGCACCGCATCGTGTTACTTCACAAGGAGATAGCTGAAAACCAGTGCATTTCACAACAGAGCATACGACCCTTTTCATTAATTTGCACAAATTTTTTCGCCTTTGTTTTCACTGTCAATTTTAAATTTTCTTTTGTGTCTCGTTCCTCTTTTAATTGTTTTACATTTTTGTGTGTTTGTGCGAAAACATTAAACGTTTTGTCTATCTATCTATTTAAAAATAAATATCCTACCTCGAATGGCATTAGGAACATGTTGTTGTCAGAACGGCGGCCAAATCGCAGACGCATTGAGGGGGCGCGCACAGCTCGGTCTTGCTCCTGCAAAATTAACTATTCTTAGCTTTCGGAATTGGGCAAAAAATATAATGATTATGAAAAGATACCTTAAAACTACTAAGTTATATCTAACTGAATAGTAAAAGCTTAACTTCCTACAGGAGGATCCCCAACTGGTAAGATAGAATGTTGGATATCTCTCTCTGAAATCAATTCAGAAACACAGAGATCGGAGAAGAACGAATCTTATCGACATAGCCAAGGTATCAGCAAAAAGTGGAAATAGGCAGACCATATATGCCGTAGACGAGACCACAAGTGCATGAGTGGAGACCCAGAGAAGGGTACAGGAACTTACCCAACAAGCACATAAGCTGCTTAAATTACTTTTGTAAAAAGTTATATATTAGCTGTTTAAGGGATTTACTATATATAGTACTTAAGTTCTTTAGTAGCGTATTCAAAAGCAATTATACAGGCAAGTCGTACAATAGCCGTACAACGCCAAAATTAATCCTAAGAGACATAGAAGGACTAGTATATATTGTATGGGCATTTGATGTAAAGCAAAGTTATAAGAACTTTTTATAACCCCTTGAGGTCTTGGAAAGAATTTTTGAAGTTAGAAGTATTTGAATGGAGTTATTAGCTTCGCTTAAAACGTTTTAGGTGGTATATTGTATAATTCTAAAGCCTTGAGCTGTTAAATATATTTTTTTATTACAGCCTTTGGAACGATATATCTACAGCAGAGAAATATATTTCTATTGTAGCGCTTGGGCCGTTATATTGGAGAATTCTACATCAACTTTACGGTACCTAGCTTGATAAGGTGAGACAAACAACAACAAATTTTTGGCTGTATAAGACATACAGCCAAAAGCGTACAATAGCGCGTCAATACCACAATTGTACAACCGAAAGATTAAACATCATTAAATTCACCAAATTCTCGAGAAGCTGTATTGAAATTACTTCTAATGATAGATCACAACGACACAAAAGTACTTATGCAATGGTTTTAAAAATAGCCAAAAATGTTATAATACATACAGCCATCAAACACTATACACACACTAATAGATACACACACTTACTAACACTCAATTCATTTTAGCCATGTTTAAAGTACCTCATTTTAATCTTAAATAACACCATGTAACACGATTTTTGTTTCTGGGTTATCAATATCATACTCTAATTGGTTCTAACATAAAAACATGAAAAAACTTTATTTCCCTGTAAAAACTATGCTTATGCGATCAGTTACGTCAAAAATGTTTATTGCTCCGTTGGAAAACTGTTGTCGTGTGTATTATTCGACTACAATCGAGATCTATTGCCGATAGAGTTGGAGAGGATGTGGGTCATTATTTTCCTGTATCGAATGGAGCAATTAACATTTTTGAGGTAACGTCACTTATGCCATTCTTCCATGAGGGGTGCGATATTTCAAATCAATAGTATATTTCAACCTAAATTCTACAAATTGATGACATGTAAATAATAGAAATAAAATCGTTTATTTATTTCAACACATTAGAAGTAAAAACAAGTTCCCCACAATATTTAGTAACAACAATAGTGGTGTGAGATAAAAAGTTCAGCATAATGGCGGAGTGTTTTTCAGCGCCGTCGGCGCTAATATGCTGCTATAGCCTGCCCTGTTCATAAAAAGAAGAAGAACTAACAATAATAAATATCACTATGTAGCTAAGTAAATAGACAGCTATATAAATACCAATGTGACAGCCATTCACAGCTATTATTTTCTACATACTTGCTGTTCAATTATACAAAAATGAATACTGTCTAGCCAAACACAACGTATTTGAATATTTGTTATGTAGTATAATCTTTAATATTTTGTTTAAATTCGATATATAGTATATTCAGTAAAGTATCTTTGAATTACGGCCTTCTGACAGAAGTATTTAATTACTTTATAGGTTGACCCCAACCTCAGTTTGTAGCAAATGCCAAATGTACCTCGAACAAATACTTTTTGGTGAAATTGGTATTATTTTTCAATATTTGAACATCATACCATATTTAAAGAAGACTATGACGAATATTTGAAACTATTGAATGAATGAGTGAATGATAAAATTTATTTTATTTATTAAATTTGTTTACAAAAAGATACATAATATTAATACTTATTAATCTAAACATGGCGGCATAACAAAAACCTGAGTACGTTTATCCGTGCACCGCAAAAGAATGAATGAAATATTCTTTATTGCACATAAAATACAGTGTTGACAGAAAACAGTAACTTAAGTATAAAAATAGTAAGTTAATGTACAACAGGCGGCCTTACTGCCATGTAGCAATTTCTTCCAGGCAACCTTAGGATACAAATTTGGGACTATTTTTATACATTTTCACTCTTATACACAATAATAATCCTAAGTCAAGCTATATAAAATGTCATTTTATTAACTGCAAATTTGAATAACGTAAGGAAAGAAGGAAGTGTTTTAATCCTGCCGTCTTTACGTGTGACCAATTTTTCTATTATTCTACACCTTTCCAATACTGTAGAAATTTGTATCATTAGTGCTAATAATCCCAATGACAAGGTTGCCCTCGTCAGGTTGTTAACGCAATAGGTGATTTGTCGTAAAATCGGTCGCCGTAAAACTGGGTAGTGGCTTGTTAGTGCGTATAACCGGATTACGTCGGTTTATACCACCTCGATTTATAGCCTGATCGATACTAGTCATCTGCAGGACTTTAAAAGACATAATATAACGTAGGTTCTAGAAGGAGCAAGTCTATTTTGTTGCAACAAAAGGGATTCTACAACGACTGGAGAATTCGAGATAGCGATACGCTAACAAGATAACCTTAAACTTTAGGGTAACGGTTACAAGAGAACGTCTAATTACCTCTACTAAGATGATCATTTTGAATGTAAATTTTCTCTTTTACAACAGCATCGTTACTTTTCTACATTAATTAACGTTTCGCGTACACCGGCTTGTTTTTTCTATAAAAAACAAGTGCGTATTTGACTTCCATTTCACCTGATGGAAAATGACATTGAGGTTGACAATGGAGCATGTACACTTAAATAATATCTACTCACTCTCGCCTTGAAAAGGCCCAATTCATAGCGTTCGGGGGATAAGTCTAAAGGCAAAGAATTCCACCGCACAGCCGTTCGTTATATAAACGCGGAAGCCCAACTTCGTTCGAATCTTCGAAATATCAACAATGATAAGGCAATGAGGGAAGGCGGAATTAAATAGTTCAATTCTATCGCATACTCTCCGTGATATATGTGATCACGGCTCTGCAGCTTCACCTCTACTAATTCCGAGTCATCTATAAGTCTCTTGACATGCTATTCAACTGAATTCAAAATGGTCAGTTGGTATTTAACGGAACTATCCCATAGATGGCAGCAGTACTTTATGCACGACTGGACTTGTGCTTGGTGCAGTTGAAGCAACACGGCACAACTAAGCATGGCAAGTTAAAAGTGACGATTACTTTTTCGGTTAAGAGAGTCACTACACTTATCAAATAATTAATAGAAATAGAAACCATTTATTGCAACGGCACAATATAAAAAAAGTAATATAGACAAAAACATAAATAACACAAAAAAACAACGTAGCTAACATTTACACAACAAATTTTACTATATAATTTAATACTATATTGTCATGTGTGCGGCTGTGGCGTATGCAAAAGGATCTCATTCAGCTAAAACCACAGCCGAGAACAGGCTGTAACGCTAGTTTTAAATGGACCCTAGCGAGTTAGTAACACGTCACGTTAGAGCCCGTCAAGCATGACACTTTGTACTTTGGACCGTTCTTATTGTAAACGGCATAGATTGGATTTAAATGTGAAATGTCAAGCTTGACGTGTGCGTCGTGAAATGAAATATAATACTATGTAAATAGTTAAGTTAAATAGTTAACTTAAGGTTTACGTGTAGGTATAGGTATTTCGTGTCATTACAGTGTGTACTATTATATTGAATAAATACATAATCCTTGCAATATATACATATAATTATATGTAACAAGTGTGTATAGTGTAAAAGCAAATAGTTTTAATTTCCATTATTATTTATTTTTATTAATTACATTTACGTACAATACAAAATTAAAATTCAAAATCAAATTTTCGACACGGAATCGCATTAATCCGGTCAGAAAAAGCTTCTGTGCGATAATAGCGAAAAAGAACGCAAACGCACGTGTTTTTCGTTTTTGTTATATGTAGGTTTATAAAGATGTTTCTAACCAGCTTCATGCGATTCCTTGTCGATAAATGTAGTGACTTCCTAAATGTCCAACCAATTAGTTGTCAAAAGTGACTAACAACTTCAGACAGAGTACAATATTGTCCAATTTTTTTGTTGAAAGTTCGGAAATTATGATTTTTTAACGGTGACATCCGATTAGTTTTAATTCGGCCGGAAAACACGGCAAGGATATATAGAACATGTGCCAAGACTTTTAAACTGTGTTTCTAAACCTAACGTATTGGTCTAGCAAGACGGACTATAAATTGCTGAACATCCTCTCATAAGAGGCGACTCTTACATATACTTTCGTTCTTCTTTTTCTTGCAGCGCCGATGTTTTTTTTTATTTTAGGACTATATTGAACTTGACTGCGCTATTCGTGGTGGCCGCATCTTTTTTATTATTTTTTTATGATACCAAATGACGGGACGAATAAGCCGTACGCCTGGTGGTAAGCGACACGCCGGTCCATAGCAGTTGCACAGTTGCAGTGCCACTCAAAGCTTTAAATCGCAAAAAATCTGAGGGGCACTGCTCCCGCCATAACTTGACAAGTCCCATGTGCCTGTAATTTCACCAGCACCCTTGCCATTCAAAGCCAGAACGCATGAGCACATTACTCAAGCAGTAATAAGTAAGATCTCAGTCATTACTTCCCCTTAAGTAGCAGTAGAGCTCCTTGTGAAAGAGTTCATCCAGGGAAGTACCTATTACAGGGGAGTTATCCATTTCTGCCGCCAAGCAGTAATGTAAGCATTACTGCGTTCCGGTTTTAAAGGGTAAGTGTGCTGGTGAAATTACCGGCACATGGGACTTTTCATCTTATGTCTCAGGGTGATGGGCGCAGAGGCAGTGCACTTCAGAACTTTGTGATTTAAAACTCTGAGTGGTACTGCAACTGTTATGGACCGGCGTGTCGTTTGTCAGGCGCACGACTTGTTCGTCTTGTCATTAAATATCATAAAAGAAAATCTCTTTCACAAGGAGATCTTCTCCTGTATTAGGGCACAAGAGGTACACGAGCAAGTGCTGCATGGACTGTGTTGAGGCACCACAGTCACATAGGGTTAGACTAACATCCCTGAACACCGACTTACTTACTTTCATTATAAATGAAAATATTTTTTGTATGAGTAAAATTAAAAAATTACTCTGCTCAACTGGAAGAAACAAAAAAAAATAAAGAAGTAATGGACACTTCAGCCCCGAACGGGTTTTAATTAAATGAAGACTGTTAATTTAACTTTTTTCAAGTGTTAACTTTATTTTTTGTCTCAACGCAAATCGTAGGTTTTATTCGACCACTAGATAGGCAAAAGGAAGAGTAATGGTTTTAAGAGATTATAGTACTTTTTTAGACTTGTCTCGTAGCTCTTAAATATTACCCGGAAGATTTAAACAATTGACATATCACTGTAATCATTTCGACATTTTTAGCAATCATATTTGAAGAATTAATTAGACGCCATAGCGTTACAAATTAATATTTGTGCATAAATCGCACCCTTGATATAATAAAACCATACGTAATCATACACACCAACATTTTTTTACCACACGAAAGTCATACAAATTATACGAACTACACCAAGATGGCGGTACTACGGTAAAAAAGCTCTACAACAAACGCATAGAACTATTCGTGAGGTCGGTTCGTTCCGTGGCTTAGTTTGCATAGCGTTTGTTTAGCGTTAGCGTTAAGTGTTCGATTTCTTAATAAATTATGAAAAACTAGTGGAGTAATTTCACTAACAATATTCATTACCTGACATTCAATAAAACTTAATTACATGAAACAAATTATTTATATGTGCAATTTTTATAACTCTCATAATTAAGCTTAAAAAAGTTATCCAATAATTTCGTTCATAAAATCTTTAAATTACTGTTCTGAAATTTTACACATGTGACCTTATTACACCAAAGGTGAGAAATCTTCACTATGATTAGCGTATATGATTCGTCTTCAGCGTTAACGAACGCGCTAAAGTCCACGTCTAGCAGTGGACTATGTTAGGTTAATGTGTAAGTGAAGCTTGAATTACGGCAAAATCGGCAATTTCACAAATAATTTCCTACAAACTAAACTGAAATAAATACACAATATTATTATCTACGTGCTGATACCATTTAACGTCGAATTTCTCAACGGACAGCTGAATTCATCTTAAATTCGATAAAACGAATACTTCCACAAACGATTTTCGATAAAGTAATTGTAATAAGATGATCACATTGAATTTCACTTCAAAGATAAGTTCCAATGTCTCCGAAATTATCGGTTGATAAGGTCAAAGTAGATTTGTATTTTTATTTATTGGCTCAATAAAAAAAAAGGACGGACATGATATTAAATGGGTTTTTTACATAGGGCATCTTTTATTTGCAATAAAAGTACCTATTTTCTATCCTATAATCTTGAAATTTATTACATGCTGTTTCTTTATTACACAACGACTTCGAGAAAGGTTCCAAGTTCGATTGATGTTCCCTTCACATTTTACGTTTATTATGTTGAACATTGTCACTGTTTACCGTCCAAGGGTGAGTGGTAATTTAATACAGAAACATGTTTGTGAAGGGTTCTACAGAAACGCTAAATTGAGTCCGGTCTAAAATTTTATTGCTAAATATTTACCTCCTGAGGGAAAACATGTGGCACAGCTTGTTCGTCGGATCGGCGGCCGAAGCGCAGGCGCAGCGGCGTGCGGATGATGCGTGGTGACTCGATCTCCTCTCCGCTTTCCAACTACAACAAATCACGCAGTTACTCTTTGTAGATGTAACGTATTTAACCGACTTCAAAAAAAGGAGGAGGTTCTCAACTCGACCGCTATTTTTCAACCGATTTTGTGCCGGCGGCATTTGTGAACCGATTTTGAAGATTCTTTTTTTGTTAGAAAGAGAGTACCTCCGTAGTGGTTTTATTTAAATTTGAAGAAAATATTCCACCTCTAAGGGTAGCAAACTAGGGGATGAATGACTTTTGAGGTCGGTTTTTTAGTACTCCGTACTGAGATTATGTTTTCCATAGCAAACCAGAGGATGCATTCATCATCAACTCATTTATACGTCCCACTGCTGGGCAAGGGCCTTCTCTCAGGCAAGGGTTGTGAACCTTCACCGATAAGCTCATAGAAAATTTCAAATTAAATTTCGCACATGATTCGAACGCACGGCCTTTGCTTGAGAGGCGGTAGGTTTAACCATTAGGCTACCACGGCATTTTAGAGGAGGATAGCCTTTGTCAATTTGTCAGTTTATGATACCAGTACAATAAAGGTATCAAGTATTATAACGTATTTGTCAATTTTTATTTTGTGCACCAGTGTCAATGTCACTTAAAATTGATTACCTCTTGCGGGAAAACATGAGGCACGGCGTGCTCTTCAGAGCGGCGGCCGAAGCGCAGGCGGACTGGGGTACGAATGTCGCGAAGGGACATGAGCTCTTCCATCTCATCCAGCTGTAAATTTATAACTTCGTGAGTCAAAAGAATAGGTTAAACAAGTACGTGCCCGATAAGAGCACTTCGCAATACCGGCATGAATACTCAAGATGCCCTGCCCCAAGGTCCGAGTAACCGAGATGTTTTGGGAAGTGGCAATGTTTATCCCAATCAAGAGAATAGGTGGACGGAACGCTTTAATAAAAGTCTATAGACAGCTTATCTCGAATTTTATCCAGCTTTTCTTCTCAGTATATCTATATACATATTATGTCCGTACTTGTATGCTTTTATCAATTTCCCCGAATTTTGTCTGCCATCAAATTCCAGATGGCTAGATAGGTCCACAATGAAAACAACTAAACAATAACAATTGATTAGCTTCATTGCTGCTAAACAAAACCATCAACTGTAGTTTTTCTTACCTGACGTCTTTGAAACTACATTCGAATAGACGAAGCCGTGTGCGCTATGTATGTATACGTAGAAACAATTATAAAGGTTTTGTAAAAAATACAAATATAAGATGTAGGTATATTTTTATAAATGTAGGCCAACAACAGTCAAATATGTGATTCATTTCTTCAGTCATTTGATATTTCATTCATTTTTATAATTTTCTATAAAGAAAATACAAAGTTTTTAGAAGTCTTCTTTCTGTTCTTTATACATATTATTTTCCATTCAGAATATAAAAATACGGTACCTACATAATCAAGTACACCCAGACATACAATACAAAGAAACTTCAAATAAAATTACAAAAAAATGTAAATCAAAATATGTATATTTTAAAACGTTGTTTTCAGGAAAACGGCGTAAACATCGCAATCACGCAAAAGCTGTAAACACGAATGTAGGGCAACATTATCCACTCGAAGAGCATTATCATACATTAACCACTCCTCAAATTTGTGTACTGTGGCTGCTTTATAAAGGACCTTAGGAAGGAAAGGCTGTGAGACACGGAAGGAAAATTTATAGGTATATTACAGAAACCTTGGCAGTTTCGCGTTTGTTTCTTTTTTGAATAAATTGTATAATTGAATGGTGATCCTTTAAATTAAGATACTGTAATAATATAGATTTTTTCACATTTGGTCGGTTTAATCCCCAGATGAGGCAAGCGACTTTTAAAATTATTTCAATGCAGTATTACTTAGTTTTAAAAATGACACCATAAAGTAATATATCATATGTACTAGATAAATAATAAAATAGTATATGAGAAATTATTAAGTAATTTCTCTCTGTGTCCCATAGCCGTGGGAAACCAAATCTAGAAGCATATTTACTCGAAATATAATACCTACTTGTAAACGATAATTTGCCTATTCTTTGAATGTTGGGAAGTTTAAGCTGTGTGAAGTGATAGTTTAAGTTAATATTTAAAGTACATCTGTCAGAGATCTATATAAAATTGATAAAGATAATGAATATCACGAGGAAAAGCTACCACTCTCACCGCACCGTAAGGTATTATATGTCATTTCGGTTTTACAAAAAGCGTTTTTAACCAAGCTAACTAAATTGATCAGCTATGTAATATATGTAAAATATTCATATATGTAATGGTATTCAAATCTGCGAATAGCCAAACGGTCAAAATGGTTACCACTGAGTATTGACTTTTGCGATATTAATGCCTTTTTTTTTGTAAAACCAAGTGACGGAATGAACAAGTCGCGCGCCAGGTAGTAAGCGACACGCCTGTCCTCCATAAAAGTCGCAGTGTCACTCAGAGACATAAGTTGACAAGTCACATGTGCCTGTACTTTCACCAGCACCCACACAGCACTCTTACCCTTCTAAAGAGGAACGCAGTGATGCTCACATTACTGCTTGGCGGCAGAAATAGGTAAGGTGGCAGTACGTCTCTAGACGAACTCTTTCATAAGGAAAAAATCTACTGCTACTAAAATCATTAATATCCTAAGTGCGTAGCTGGCCAAGACCTATGCCTGGAACTGCGCTGGTCCTCCTAGCTTTTAGTCTCGAATTCATCTTTGCTACAGCAAAAAGAGCTAAAGAGGTATCACCCTAGGCAGGGTCAGACATGTAACTATACCAGCCTATAAATCACATTCATACCAATGCAAGGATACTTTTGGTTTTATTTTTTCTAACTTAATTTTGAATTAAGTTTAAAACCGAAAACAAAGATAGACAACAAGCACACAAGTAATCCGCGAATATAGTAGCAGCCCCTTAAAGCTCTCAGTGGCTCTGCAACTGTTATGGACAGGCTCGCTTATCATCAACAATAGGTACGCTGATTCGTTATGTAGCTCGGTAGGGAGAGCGGTTAATCCCGGTTTTCTAAACAGGCGCTGCTGGTTCGAATCCAGTCAACCAGCAGAATATCATACCAGTAAAAATATCATAGTATTCAATAAAAATAAAATATTAATTTTAAATTGTTTAGGAATTAGTATTTTTCATTTGATTATTTATAACTAGTCTTTTTCTCTTTTTTTTGTTTTTATTTTTAACCGTATGAACTGAAGGTAGAAGCCTGGTGACCTGAATCGTAGGGTATCCTAGTACAGGCTCCAGCTACTACCAATTAATTTATACAAATCATAAAATCCCTTATTCAGTTATGATTTTGTTGCGGAAAAAAAATTATTATTATTATATAAGGAATAAACATCCCATTTATATATTCCGTGTATATATGTATTAAAAAGTTTATACAGGTGTTTATATCTGCCATAAATATGCATATGATCATCATTTATAATTAATATTCACGTTTAATTAAATTTATTGTACAATGAATTAGTCCCGCAGACTTTCTTTCTACACCACGGCTAGGGTTGACTGGAAGGGATCTCTGCTAGAGATAAGCTCATCTTCGTACATTATGTGTCTTTTCTCTTTCATATAAAACGCAAGTTTTATTGCAATATTTATATAATTCGCACCCAACTGGCATATCGAAACCGTACTTTCTGAAACACGTATCTTATGAAGACTGATTATTCAAGAGACGGCAAAACTTTGTATTTATTTTAAATTTCTTCTTAATTTGGATGCATTTCTTTAGGAATAGATAAAAACCAGTATGTGAATATGAAGGAAATGTAAAATCAGTCTGCAAAATTTGTATATACAATCATTGACTTACAATTATATGGACGTCGGGTCCGCGCTAAAAAGTGTCCGCACTTGTAAGGCGCTAAAATCGTATACAGAGCGCCAAACTCCGCTTTAGTCTTCATTTGTTCTACTGACAGCGCGATACTGCGATGACATTACAATTTAAATTTCGAATAGGTTGACTTGAGACATTTTTTTCGTGGTTTTGTATTAGACCCGTCGTCCATTAATTTGTAAGTCAATTTATACAATGCATTTTTTGCATTACCGTTACTTTGTGATTTAAGTAAGGCGACAATATCCTACCCAGTAAAACATTATAACGTACACACATTGCTTGTGAATATGCAATTCAGGAATTAAAGTTCTTCTTTATCTAGTTACGAATTCCTTAAGTTCAATCATGTATTCAAATGAAATTAACTTCCGAATTGGAATGAGTCTCTTCGTCAAAGAAGCTTTATGGCTGAGATCAATTCTCGCCAAATACTACTGCTATTAATAATACTGCATGGGATTCAATCGATTCACGATTAGAATTGTAATTCTTCGAAAACTTTCGTTAATATGTGTCAATTGAACTTTGTTTAAAAACTGTGCCAATTTACCTAGTTTATCAAAAAGTCTTTTGTTAGAATATCACAAAATTTCCTCTACAACTGTGCTAATCTAAAATATCTTTAAATTACTTAATATTTTAATCTTCTTGACAATAATGTTTGATGATGTGATTCATGAAAAATATAAATGTTTCCCTGTCGCTGTGTCTACTGCGTTACCAGTAGACTCTTTTATTTTTTAAATTTAGTGAAGCAAACTGCTCTTTAGCTCCGATATTTATCGAGTCAACAGATTATGTAACGAAGATTATTCAAATTGGTACATTTTGGTGCCTATTTAATAAATTACAATGAAATGAAATAAATTATAAATAATTGTAATAAATTTTTACTGTTTGTTATAATGAATCGTCGGATCCTTCGCCATATGAATGGGAATCATCACTGGAATCCTCATTAACATTAATTATTAATTCTTGAGTACACAAATTTTTTGGAACCCGCTCACAGTCACGATTAAAACTTCTTCATAACTAAAATCGATTGTTATAAAAAATCGAAACGCATTAGGACATCACTGATTGACTAGAATTCGATCTATCAAAAGTTAAATAAGTGGTTGGACGGAGTCGTGTATAACGTGCATACATTTTTTGTATTAAAATTTTTAATTCACGAATGTTTTAAACCTTTTGAATACGAGTCACAACGAGAACAAGAATTTTATTATTATAATAAATTTGTTCTTTGTGTTATATACATCATTATTATTATACATTTTTCATGAAAAACAATGTATTCTTGTTAACATAAAATACATTTTCATAAATTTACCCGTACGCTGTTGTGAAAATGTTAATTTCTTTGTACTTATCGGTTAAAGACGCTCTGGAGCCCTGTTTGTAAATTGCGTAACAACACGCTCTGGGATACTAATTCGTGTTTGAACATCTTTTCGTGATGTTAGATGATGTAGACCTTTAGTAGCAACAGAGCTCTTTGTGAAAGAGTTCGTTTAAGGAACAATCAACTACCACCTTCCCTATTTCTTCCGGTTCTGAAGGGTAAGGGTGCTAGTGAAATTACAGGCACTTGGGACTTATAAATTTTTGTCTCAAGGTGACGGGAACAGTGGCAGTTTGAGTTAAAGTTTTGCGATTTAAACAATAACCCCTTTAACACACTTAATAGGCAGATTAATAGAGGATTCACTTATGTTCAGACCCAAAACATCCACTCTCTGCGTAGTGATACATATTCTTTGGTGCTACTATACTTTATAAATACTTACTGGGGCTTGTGGTGGCATGTCGGGGTCGGAACGACGGCCGAAGCGCAGGCGCCGCGAGGGCGAGCGCACGGACTTGCGCGCGAGAGCGTGCCCGCCCAGCGCGTCGTGCTGAGCCAGTAACGCGTACAGCCCGCCGAGCGCGTCCCACCCGCCTCGATTGTCTGAAGCCGCTGGTGATGCTGGAGCAAATAAAACATGTTACACGAAAATATTCTTATCGCTTACAATAGAGGTAACGAAAACTTTTTAGGAATTTATATTTTAAAGAAGGCGAACAAGTGCGGTACACTAAGTTTTAATACTCTTGGAGACCTGTTGAATAAACGACTGACCTTTGGGTGAAACGGGTAAATCAAGTACAATATGATACACTTCAGGTTTAAGAACGTAAATTACAGAGAAATACTGTCGAATCCTTTTTTTCGAATATTTTTTAGAAAAGGCTTATTACGTTTAAAGTACATTATTGCAGAGGACAATCGCAGCGAGGTCTTGTGTTATACGAGTCATGCAATCCCCGTTCCCGCCGAGGTATACATAGCGCTTTTCTCAAACAATGCGAGGAAATAATAAATGACTAAATAATGAAAGACAGTGTATAATATAAAAAGTAAAAGATATTTAGTACGTACAGCTAATCATAAATCTGATAAATGTTATACAACTTTTCCAATTGAAGCCTAGTTGATTATGAAGAATCAATGTAATATCGTCTCGTAAGTTTTATTGGCATAAACCTCAGAGGACCCATGAGTTTCAGTGTAGTAATGACCTTAACAAAAGTTGAATGCTTGTTATAAGTTCGCCAATTCTGCAATTATTGACTATAGATACTTAGAACTCTGGATTTAGTAATTATTGTGATTGTATAGAATTTTAATATGAAGAGTCTTTGCACCAATGTAGTTTCAAAATCTTTTTAGTTACATATTTTTTAATTTCAATGTAATAATTTCACATTTCCTTTGTTCTTTCTATCACAATTGTTTTCATTTGCCAGTACATGTATTCCACGATTTGTATTATAATTATTAATAAAAAAAATCCTTCGATTCAAACGAACGCCTTCCAGCACTTAGTGCCAGAAGCTATGCCAACGGAATGAACTAGCGAAATATGAAAATAAAATATTCATATATCATATTCATATCGACTAAACGTCGCTCAGCGAACTATGGAAAGGTATCTCGTTAAGGAACAAAGTCCGGAACGAAGTTATCATTTATATATATTATATATACATATATATATATAAGACTAAAATTGTGGACGTTATCCAGAAATGTAGCAAGCTGAAGTGGCAGTGCGCTGGCCATATCTGTCGCAGAACCGATGAGCGATGGAGTAGATTGGTTCTCGAGTGGAGACAATGTCTCAGTAAACGTAACGTAGGACGTCCCCCTGCAAGGTGGACCAACGATCTGAAGAAGGTCGCGGGTAGTGGTTGGATGCGGATAACGGGTGATCGGGCACTATGGCGTACACTTGGGGAGGCTTATGTCCAGCAGTGGATTGCAATAGGCTGATTGATTGATTGATGATGATATCTTCAAAAAATTATATCTAAGGCACATATCACAAAAAACGGCGAAACTGTTGACACGGTTTTCCTCCGATTTTCTCTGACAATACCCATTTCCTAGGGGCCGTAATAGATTGAAAAGACTTCCCAAATTCCTTCCTTCCTTGAAAATCATAATAAAAATATAATTATGTAATTCCATTGTATTTTCAAGTTTGCGATCACTTTCACGAGAGCCATTATGTCGTTCAGTGAGACTCTTTATCGTAGAACATTTTTCTGTTGAATTTAAACTTCAACAAATGATCTTTTGTTTGAAGCTTAAGAATTTTCAAAGCCTATTATTCATTGGAATAAGTTAGTATTACAATTCGTATTAAAGGTTAATCTGCTTCAACAATTTTTAATTTTTAAAACCTGTATAGAACGTGCTGTTATATAAATAAACTCTTGTTCACCAAATATACAGGGTTATTTGTAAAACACTAACAACCCCTTAGGACTATACTACTAACATCATAAACAACAACTTTTTTACATGATTTTAATAGTTCATGAGATTTTACTTTCGCACGAAAATAAAAAATATTTAATAGTTAGTTACAATTATTAATACAAAGATCGAGCACTCAGAAAAAAATTCCTTCGCTCCGGCCGGATTCGAACCGACGTC